CCCCAGGGACTCCGACCGCAGGCTCATCCGTCCATAGGATTCTCCAGGCAAGAATACTGTAGCAGGTTGCCATTTCCTCGTCTAGAGGATCTTTCCGACCCAGGGATTGAACCTGTGTCTCCTGCTTTGCAGGTAGATTCTTTACCCCCTGAGCCACCTGGGAAGGTCTCATCTAAGACTTTTTTAAAAAAATGGTGACATAACATTATTGGTTAGTTGCTTCTGGCTCTTTGTGACCCTGTGGACTGCAGCACGCCAGGCCTCCCTGTCCTTCACTATCTCCCGAAGTTTGCCCAAGTTCATGTCCATTGAGTTGGTGATGCTATCTAACCATCTCCAGGCATATGCTCCAGGTAAATACGTTCTAAAGAAGCTATCACTTGTCTGATCCTAGCTCACCAAGTTTGTACCCGTGAAGGAGAGCAGGAAGACCCAGCACGTGGCGCTCACGGCTGCCGCACGCGCCTGCTCTGCAGGGAGGCCACCACGGGATGTGCTAATGGGCTGGGGTCCCCAAGGCTAGGAGGGCTGACCACGCTGGGGGGCAGTGTGGATGGCAGGGGTGGGGTGGTGCTCTCGGGGACACCTGAGCCCCCTGGGAGGACTGGACTGCCACGTGGTCCGTCAGCGAGGAGGGCAGGGATGGGGGACACAGAGCCGCCTTCTCTGGGCCCTTGAAGGCAGGTGACGGGGACACCCACAGCCTCCTCCTCCGGGTCTCGGGGCCCCTCCTCACTGCCGCAGGCCCTGAGACCTCGAGGGTGTGGCGGTGCTCGGGGAACCAGAGGCTTCTGAGCAGAACCGGGGCGTGGGGGAGTCAGCGGGGGCCTCATTCTCCCCAGCTTCCACTTCCGGTCCCTGTTGACTTGTTGGTGTCAGATCTGTTTGGCATGAGCTGAAACTTGCCACCTGCCTCTCTCTATCTTCAGCAGCTTAATTCTAGGAAGGGCGCAAGTAGCCTTGAAAATGAAACTCAGGCCCGCCCATAATCCCCCGGGGTCCTGAGCAGGAGCTGTGAGCAGGGACAAGGGTCAGGTCCTCCTGGGAGGCACAGGTCCACCCTCGCCTGCATCTCAGGACAGGGCCCCAGGGGTCGCCTGGGGCATCTCGGCCCCCTGGGCTGTGGGAGGAGGGACAGTGAGGAGGGAGAGGCCTGAGGCGTGGCTTTGGGGAAGATGCTGTAATTTAAGATGGTGCAGAGGTCAGCGTGCTCTGAATTTCCGCGTCCCTGGCGGAGCGGAGCCGTGTGGCCTGTGCGTTTATGTTACAGGGATTCATGTAATGTAAGAGGGTGAGAGGGAGAGATTTCAGTGTTGCTGTGATCTCTGCCCCTCAGTCCTGCGCCTGTGACCCTGAGTGGCCCGTAAGCCTGCTTTTCTCAGGGATCCTCACTTCTCCATGTGCCTCCTGTGAGCACCCTGCCCCGCTGGGGGAGACTGACCCCCAGCCACACGCAGCTGCTCCAGGGCTCACCCAGCCTGCTGTCTGTGCGTCGGCAGGTCTGACTTGACCGGACTTCACCCGGGGTGAGGGTTCTGGACAAGCCTGGTCTGTTCCATCAACTGTGGCTCATGGGCGATTCAAGGAGTTTCCAAGAGTAAACGGAGTGACTCTTCCAGCCCATCTTTATGTGGGCTTTGGAAACTCGGCACTCGTGACCCCTCTGTACCTTCAGACTCTCCTGGCGAGCTCCCCAGGGCTGAAAGGGGCACAGACACACCCACAGTGTCTCTCTGCTGGGCAAATTCTAGCTCGATTGATTGATTGATTTTCTTTATTTTAATTTTATTGTCGGCTATACGCAAAGTGACTCAGTTCTATGTATATACATATACACACATTCTTTTTCATATCCTTTTCCATTATGGTTTATCACAGGATACTTACTGGATGTAGTTCCCTGTGCTATACAGTAGGACCTTGTATTATAGATAATAGTTTGCATCCACTAACCCCAGCCTCCCACCCCACCCCTCCCTCAGCTCCCTCTCCCTTGGAGACCACAATTCTGTTCTCCATATCTGTGAGTCTTCTAATGTTTCGTTGCTGTTGCTGTTGTTCAATCACTAAGTTCTGTCCAATTCTTTGGGGTCCCATGGACTGCAGCATGCCAGGCTTCCCTATCCTTCACCATCTCCTGGAGTTTGCTCAAATTCATGTCCATTGAGTCGGTGATGCCATCCAACCATCTCATCCTCTGTCGTCCCCTTCTCCTCTTGCCCTCAGTCTTTCCCAGCATCAGGGTCTTTTCCAGTGAGTCAGCTCTTCGCATCAGGTGGCCAAAATATTGGGTCTTCAACTTCAGCATCAGTCCGTCCAATGAATAGTCAGGGTTGATTTCCTTTAGGATTGACTGGTTTGATCTCCTTGTTGTCCAAGGAACTCTCGAGAATCTTCTCCAGCACCACAATTTGAAAGCATCAATTTTTCAGCACTCAGACTTCTTTATGGTCCAACTCTCACATCTGTACATGACTACTGGAAAAACCATAGCTCTGACTATATATGGACCTTTGTCTGCAAAGTGATGCCTCTGCTTGTTAATATGCTGTCTAGGTTTGTCAATGCTTTTCTTCCACGCCACAAGCATCTTTTAATTCCATGGCTGCAGTCACTATCTGCAGTGATTTTGGAGCCCAAGAAAATAAAGTTTCTCATCATTTCCATTGTTTCTCCATCTATTTGCCATGAAGTGATAGGACCAGATGCCATGATCTTAGTTTTTTGAATGTCAAGTTTTAAGCCAGCTTTTCACTCTCCTTTCACCGTCATCAAGAGGCTCTTGAGTTCCTCTTTGCTTTCTGCCTTTAGAGTGGTGTCATCTGAGATTGTTGATATTTCTCCCAGCAGTCTTGATTCCAACTTGTGGTCCATCCAGTCTGGCATTTCGCACAATGTATTCTGCATATAAGTTAAATAAGTAGAGTGTTTCACAGATAAGTTCTGTTTGGTAGATAGGTTCATTTGTGTCGTAGTTTAGACCCCACATATCAGTGGTACCATGTGGTATTTGTCTTTCTCTTTTTGGCCTACTTCACGTGGTATGATCATCTCTAGTTTTATCCGTGTTGCTGAAAATGTGATTTTGTTCTTTTCATGGCTGAGTAGAACCTAGGCCTGTTGACTTAGATGCTTATCTAGCCTCAGAGAGAAGTGCCAGCTGAGTTTTCATTTCTTCAGTCTCACCGAGGAATGCTCAGTGAGTAGTTGTGAAGGCCCCAGGGCACATTGAGCTTCCTTATTCCTCCCAGTGGAGGAACCAGAGGCCCAGGGAGGGGACATCACTGATGCTTCTGGTTGTGTGGATCCAGCCGAAGCACACGCTGGCTTTCCTGAGGCTCTCGATGCCCTTGCCCATTGCCAGACCAGCGTGGACAGGAGTGGAGCTCGGAGGGCACTTCTACAGGAAGTAGAGCCCCAGGGCGGGGTGGGAGGCCGGGAAGGCTCTCACACGGAGCGAACCTCATGTTCCCACGCCTCTGCCAGGCAGGAAGATGCTGGGCCTCGGTGGGGGAGCGCAGCAGGCAGAAGCTGGACACTGATGCACCCGCCATCTAGCAGCCTGGGGAGATGGTGTGTGCAGCCGTGGTCACAGCGGCCTTTGAGAACTTGATCCAAACTATCATTCTTTTCCCTAGAAAAAGAGAGAACCCCACATCATCTGCAAGAGGATCAGAGCTCTCCAGGTCTAGTGCTTGGCTTCCAGGGTGGGCTCCCCTAGGTGGTGGCAGAAGCAATGCACTCTGATTGCTAACTTCCTGAGAACCTTTGAGGTTGTCTCTGTTGCCCTCAGGATAAAGGCAGAACTCTTTAGCAGGCTTTTTCGAAGTTTAAAGATGCAGTCTGGCCCCTGTAGACCGAGCAGCCTCCCTTTCTCCCCCAGGGGCCTTTTCTCAGCCACCGTCACCCTCACCCCGTGCTCACCTGGCTGCTTCCCACCACAGGGCCTTTGCACATGCCTTCCTCGACCTGAGACTTTCCCCTCCCAGCCTCCCCCACTCAGCCCTTAGCCCAGCTCCTGTGTCCCTTCCCCAGGGAAGTCTGTCCTGCCAGGTCAGCTCCTGCCCTTGCCTCCTCATCACAGTCATGGTTTTGCTGGCACTTCAGTCACACCCACCTTTTTTTTCACCTTCTTGAGGGCAGAGAATGAGTCAGTCTGATTCGCTGTGTGTTCTGGGTGCCTGACACGCGGCAGAGGGTGGTACGCAGAGGAGCGGCAGGTAGGCAGCTGGCCTTTGCGGAGGCGGGAGGTGTGACGTCCGTGGCGGGAGCAGGTTTGGTTTCTCATCTTTGCCCCTTCTGGGCCCCAGTGACGCTGCACGCTCAGCTTCTATGCCCTGGTGCCAAATCAAATCTCAGAGGCCAAGTTCTGGGCGAGGTAGAAGAGAATAGCTTTATTGCTTTGCCCAGCAAAGGAGGACACGGTGGGTTCCTGGCTTCCAAACGGTGTGTCCCAACCCAGGAGGATGGGATGAGGAGTTCAGTAGTTCAAGGGTGGGCTTGCTAACAAGATGAGGCTGTGTGCAGGGTCCACATGTCTCCTCTCTACGTCTGTGGCTCTACTCCTGCCCTGGAACTAGGTCTGTCTGCACTATTTTTCTAGATTCCATGTATATATCTTAATATATGGTATTTGTTGTTCTCTTTCTGACTGACTTCACTCCGTGCGACAGACTAGGTCTGTCCACATCTCTCTGAATGACTCAGTTTCACTCTTTTTTATGGCCGATACTCCACTGTATACGTGTACCACATCTCTGTAGTCCGTCCATCTGTCGATGGACGTGTAGGTTGCGGGCCCTGGCTGTAGTCAGTAGTGCGGCTGCTCCTTTCTTGGTTAGCAGCTGTTCGGATTTGCCCTTTGGACCTCCGGGAAGGTCTGGGGGGCTGGAGTCTTGCCGATGAGGAGCGGGGGCTATGGAGCCCCGCAGGGTCCCGCTGGGTCTCAGCAGCCGCCTTCCTTGCGGCATGGCGAGCCTGACGCGCCGTTTGCCCCCCAGGTGTGCTGCGGCTCCTGGAGCACGGGGAGGAGTATGTGTTCACCCTGCCCAGCGCCTACGCCCGGTCCATCCTCACCATCCCATGGGTGGAGCTCGGAGGCAAAGTCAGCATCACCTGCGCCAAGACCGGCTACTCGGCCACCGTCACCTTCCACACGAAGCCTTTCTACGGGGGCAAGGTCCACAGGTAGGCGGCGGCCGGGGCCGGCCCCGGGTCCATCTGATCACGAGGCCCCGGTCCCTTCTCTCCATCCGAAGCCTGGGTTCCAGCCGGGAGATGCGTTGATGATCAAACTCCAATTAACGCATCCTTTGCAGATGACGGGTCTCCGGGGCAGAGTTCTGACCCCTTTCCAGACTGGCGAGGTGCAGAGATCAGGGCTTCTGGGGTCACTGTCACCTCTCACTCCCCAGGCCTCCGCCTGACCTGTTCTGACACAGTCAGTCCATGAGCTCCACACAACACCCTGAGTCCTGTGTCTTTGAGAGCACGACTGTTTCTCTCCTTTGGGAAGCTAGGAAGCATGCCTTAAGATGTGGAAGGCGACAGCCGCTGTTGGAGCGGAGCGTCACCTCGTTTTCATGGTTCTGGCTTTAAGACTCTCCCCCTTTGGAGCAGATCACCGGATAAGCAAGCCCCTTGGAAAGCTGTCCTGGGTGGCATTCTCCTAGGGGTGTTGGGGCGTCCCCCGGACAGTGGATCCCCTCCTGGCCATTTTGGGTTGGACACACCGGCTCCTAAGAGCCAACTGTGTGTGTCTCTCCCCAGCTCTGCGGCCCCTCATCCCACCTGGTGGCTTGAGATCCGCCAAGGTTGGGGCAGGGAAGGACTTCACGGAAGGGCTGCAAACCGGGTGTTTCCCCCGTGGTGAGCCCATTGTTAAAGTGTGACTAGCACAGCACAGACGCCCTTCCCGCAGGATCCGCCAGAGGGTCCTGGGTGCGCCCTGGGCCCCCGCTGTGTCCAGGCTCAGGGGGAATGCTTCCAGGTCTGTGTTCAGAAACTCCACGTTCATCCGGAGTGTGGCTTTAGGAAGAGCGGACCCGGGCTCCTCCACCTCCCATTCCTGCTGTGTTATTCTGCCCGCAGCAGGCTCCTAGGGAGAGGGAGTGGGCTCTGCCTTCCCTGAGAGCTGAGCCCCTGATCCCTGGGCTGGGTGGGCGAGGTGAGAGGCTGCACTCCTCCACCGGGACCCTTGTAAATCAGGCTGCAGGGAATCGCCCTCGTTTAGTGATTGAAAAGTTCTCCTGAGACTCTTACGTTCTTTTGGTGGTTGAGATGTACACTATTATTATTATTACTAAAAAAAAAAAGAATTTTTGGCTGCACCCCACAGCATGCAGGATCTAGTTCCCTGACCAGCGACCGTAGTTCCACCGGGGTTGAACCCACCACCTTGCCCTGGAAGTGCGGAATTTTAACCACTGGACCGCCAGAGAGGTCCCAGAATGTACACTGTTAGGTGCGATTTGAGGAAGAAGGGTGATTTCCACCCCAATAATAACATTTTGCAAAACCTTTGCATGTTTATTAAAACTAAGAAATTGATGAGATTCAACTAAAGAACTCACAATAAAGAGTAATAAAGCTTGTATAATTTTAAACTGCCTAATTTATTGTCAAAAATCAATAAAGCAACATTAATTGAAAACAAACAAAACTGAGGAGGGGATAAATTAGGACTTTGGGATTAACAAATACCTACTTTATATAAAACAGGTAAACAACAAGGACCTACTGTATAACACAGGGAACTCGCCTCAGTATCTTATTATAACCTATAAGTGGAAAGAATCTGAAAAAATATATATACATGTTCATGTATGTGTGTGTAACCATATGAACCACTGTTTTCTTGAAACTAACACAACATTGTAAATTAAGTATACTTCAATTAACAAAAACTAAGCAGTTAACATTGCTGCATCCTTAGACTTTATTCAGATCTACCTGTTTGCCCACTGATGCTTTCCTTATCAGCTCAAGGATGTTAGATTACATTTTAAGAGCTAGTCTTTGAGCAAAAGAGCAGCCCCATTAAAAAAAAAAAATCTGCCGATGTGAGCACACCTTTAGAAGTCAGTCTGTGCCCTGATAGACTCACAAAGTGCTCACGGCACTCTTCGTCCACTCAGGGTCACAGCAGAAGTGAAGCATACCCCCACCAACACCATCGTGTGCAAAGCCCACGGGGAGTGGAACGGGACCCTGGAGTTCACCTACAACAACGGGGAGACCAAGGTCATCGACACGACCACACTGCCCGTGTACCCCAAGAAGATCCGCCCCCTGGAGAAGCAGGGCCCCATGGAGTCCAGGTGGGGCCAAGCTTTGCTGTCTCAGCACGTGACCCTGGCAGAGAGGATGTCCCAGGGGACGGGGCCAGAATCATGCTCTGATTCCTTCAGACCTTCCTCTGGGTGTCACCTAGGAATAGACTGGTTGTCGCTTTCGGTTTAGTTGTTCTGCGATCATGGGGCAGAATGTGAAGACAGCCCGCCCGGACTTTACTGCCTGTCTTACAAGAATTTGTCAGCTTTGCTAAGTTAAGTACAGAGAGATGCTAGTAATCAAAAAACCATGCAATTAAGCAATGAGATACTTTTTTTTCTTACCAGATTAGCAACGTAATTTTAAAAAATTCTGTGCTGGCAAAACTGTGATAAATTGACACTTTGTGTCTTGTGCAGGAAGGTGCCAGGTTCGCTGCAGGGACCAGTAGCTTTAAATTCCTGACTTCTCCTTTATCTTATAGTCTGCTTCTGGGAATCTCATCTAAGGGAGACTCCTTCAATTCACAAAAGGTTTTAAAAATGAAATTTGGGTATGTTTTTTTCATCAAACAACAAACAGAAACCATCTAACAGTGCAGTGATTTGGAGAAAACAGGTTAAGTGAGTAAAGGAGAATTCACTCTGTCACATGAATATTCTGCAGCCACTTAACGTGATGTTTATGCAGGTATAGAAGCAGAATCTTCTGGAAATGTGCAATTAAAATTTTTTAATCCAGGAGTTCAGCAAAGTTTGCCCCACCGGCCAGATCGCACCTTGTAAACAATTTCTGTAAAATTTTGTGGGAACACCGCCGTGTTCACCTGTTTGCATCTTGTTTGCGGCCACTGTCTTGCGACAATACTAGTGAAATAGTAGTGACCAAGACCACATGGCCTGCAAAGCCTAAAATGTTGGCTCGCTGGCCCTCACAGGAGAACGTTTACTGGCTCCTGCTCTTATTGAAAAGCATGCTGCTCTATAGAAAGATGACGTGGATTAACATGAAATCACAGATGATCTCGTGAAAGAGTTTGCCATGACCAGAAGAGTTTGCCACCAAATTGGAAAAGTGCTTATTATGTGGAAATGAAGCCAGGGATACCAGTGTGTATAAATCATATGTTGTCACCAAGTTTGCTGGAAAGAGGGCTTCGGTGTCCTGGAAATCTGGCTTTGAGCTAGGAGTCGTCCACTGGTGCCCGTTGATGAGAGTGTAACCTTCTCCGTGTTGGGAGGGCATGAACCCAGCCCAGTGAGCCGTGATGGGACGCGACCCCCGCCCACGTGGCCTCCGATGACGCCTCCCCCCAGTCAGGAGCCCTGCGGCCCCCTGTCACAGCCCCACTTGTTTCTGGCATGGCTGTTGATCACCAAACTGTGATTCCCGTGGGCTGAGCTTCCAAGGACGTCTGTGCCTTAGCTGGTCCTTAGGAAGCCTCTGGGAGCTGGGAGCTCCGGCCCCTGCTGGAGCAGAGTGGGTAGGGGATGGAGTGTGGAATGGGAGGGGGCGGGGGTTGACGCTTCCTGTCTCACACACGTGGGCTCCCTGCCACCTGGAGTTGGGCCGTCGGCAAACCCAGCCGCCCACCTTGTTTCCCATGGTGGGAATGGCCCAGAGGTGCAGTGCCTGCCATTCGGAGCACCTGAGCCAGCTTACACGCTGGCCAGCCAGGCCCCACCTGCGGAGGCCAAGGAAGGCCCGCCTGGTGGCCTCGGCCCCATAGGGGCCCGGCCCCCACCTGCCCCGTGGCAGGTAACCCCTGCCCCATTGTGGGAAGAGAAGCTGCTTTTCATCAGCCACCCCCGTCAGCGTGCTCACGATGCCTGGAGCCTGGCCTGCGTGCTCTGCGGGGTGCTGCTGACTACCCCTGGCCTCCAGGACCTCTCTGCTCTCCGCGAGCGCTCCCCTGGGCTTCCTTTTTGCTTTTCACGCTGACCTGCTCCTACCCTCCCAGCCCTGGAGGCTTTTCTGCCCTGCGTTTTGGCCTGAAGTTCAGCTCCTTCCCCGGCGAGCCCTGGCTTGCCCCTCCAAGGGGCTCCAGGTGGAGCCTGTGAATGAATGGGCTGAGCCCTTGATGTGGGCTGGCTCCTTGCTCACCAGCCGCGGGGGCTTTCTGCCCTCTAGTTTTGAGGCTGCTATCCTATGATGGGACTTATCCGGGGAAGTCCTGCCCTGGGAGCAGCCCCACCCTGGATGTCCGGGCACCCGGTCGTTCCCTCTGCACGAGATGTGTGTTGAAGGTGGGGGCAATGGAAAAGCCAGTTTGAGGCAGCAACCAGCCCGCCCTGTCTGCTTCCCAGCCCCCTTTCCTCTTTGAGCCCACCTCTTCCCCTCTAAGCTCTCAGGGTGCGGTAGAAAGAGCAAGGGCTGGGAGCCCGCTTGGACCTGGCTTCCTGCCCCGCTCCAGAGCTTTCTCCTGTGTGTCCTGGGAGCCGGGACGCCACTGTCCTCAGCGCTTTGTGGGGTGGGGCAGTGACCGGGGCGGGGGCAGGGGCGGCAGTCTGGTCTCTGCAGCCTGAGCCCAGCTCCCGTCTGGACTCGGATCCCCAGGAGGGCTGCCATCTTGGCCGCCTCGGCCGCTCCACTGCTGACTCCCTGGCCTAGGAGCTAACAGGGCGCCTGTGCTCAGCCTGCTGCAGGGGCATCTGAGTCCCCCAGGCCAGAGAGGGCGTGCTCACTGTGGAGAGGTCTGCCGTTTCCTTTGTGCGGAATTTGGGCCGGTCCTGATATGAGAAAGTGAGGAAGTGTCCCCTTCACCTAAATGCGGGTCCCCCCCAACTCAGCTCCAGCACAGGGTGGGACTAGGGGGGAGGTGTTTTCTGAGGAGGGAAGCCAATGGCTTCTCCAGTAAACGAATGAATGAGTCTAACTTTGCATGTAGACACGGGAAGGTGGTGGATCCTCCGGTGTCTGTAACTCCTAGTATGGGGTTCCCCTGCGGGAGCAGCCACTGTTTACATCCATCAACTTGCTAACCTCTGGCAGCTGGCTGCCCTTGGTGGGGGTCTTGTTTTCTCTGCTTTAGGATGGGGTCCTAACATCACGTCTGTGTCATTGGGGTGTTGTGATGATGAGTTAATGTAAGCTGCCTATAAACGAGGTGCCCACCACGTGGCAGGGTCTGCGTGGATTCTGTCTGCAGGAGCAGCAGGATTCCTCCCTTCACCCCTAGACTGGTGCCCGGGCTCTCAGAGCCGGGGAGAGCAGAGGGGATTCAGAGTTGGGTGCAGATGGGGCTCCGGGCCCTCCTCGCCCGGGACCGAAGCCTCGGGCCGCTGGCCCTGCCTGACTGCTAACTGTGCCCCCCGTGCTCCCCCAGGAACCTCTGGCGGGAGGTGACCCAGTGCCTGCGCCTAGGGGACATGGAGGCGGCCACCGAGCAGAAGCGGCGGCTTGAGGAGAAGCAGCGGGCGGAGGAGCGGAAGCGGGAGAACCTCCGCGCGACCTGGCGGCCCAAGTACTTCATCCAGGAGGTGACCCGGCCGGCGTCCGGGGCGGGGTGGGCGGGCTGTCCCGTCACGGCCGCGGGCCGGGCAGGGAGGGCGGGGGAGAACCAGGCACCGCCCCGGGGCCCTGAGTGCCGGCTGCCCTCGGTTTCCCGTGGAGGAGCGCCACTGCCGGTGGGGAGGCACACGTGGGGGCCGCGGGCTCGGGACGCGTCGGCTTAACAGAGATCGCAGACCTGCTGCTCTGTCTCTATAGCAAATTAGTGGGAAAGGCCAGCCCAGCCCACCTCCTCGCCTGGGGAGGTTGGACCTTCCTATGACAAGCGCCTCTTTAGAGCTTTGCCTCTTGTGGGGCCAGTGGAATGGACTTGGAGGGAGAGACCGGTGGGGGGTGGGGGAGGGTTGCCCCAGCTCACCATGAATCCTGGGGAAACCACCTCCCGGACCCAGCACCCTGCCCACCTGCTGGTCGAAGCGCCGCGTGCCCAATCTTTGTGGCGCAGCTGGGCAGCATCCTGAGAACATAATTGGAAACAGCAAAAGCGCAGGAGTCGGTTTTTCAGGCAGGGGGTCGGGAGGCTGAGACAGTCAGCGAGAGAGACAGGCCGCTGGGGGCCAGACAGACCCCAGTCTGTACCTGAAGGGGTGGATGCTACTCACCTCCAGGCTGTCACAGGCCGATGACCCAGTTCTTCACGAGAAGCCAGAAATCGGCAATTCTGTGAGAGACCAGATGCTCAGCTGGTGTGGAGGAATCGTGAAAGGTTGAAGCGCTGAGGGCCAGTGGCAGCCTGTCTGGACTCTCCCTGTCCGGGCGCTGGCGGGTCTGACTGGCGCTTCGTGGAAGCATGGCCCCGAGTAGCCGGAAGGCTGCAGGGAGAGAGGGTGACCATCAGGTGGGCTGGGGCCACCCCCAGAGGCTGCAGCCAGGGCTGTGGGCTGAGCGTCGGCGTCACTGTTGGCCGCTGCTGTAGACAGGAAGCCTGCCTGGAGACACTGTGAGCGGGCCCTTGTCTGGAGGGCTTGCCCAGGGCAGGTGACTATATATTAGTCAGGGTTCTCCAGGGAAACAGCACAGAACCAACAGGAGATAGGAGTTCATGTAGATCTACGATGAGATGGGGGAGGCTGCAAAGCTACGAGATCTGTGGGTTGCAAGCTGGAACTGCAGGAAAGCCAGTGTTTTATTCAATCCAAAGCCTGCGACCTAGGGAGCTGATGGTGTGAATCTCAGCTCAAGGGCAGAAATCCAGATGAGTGAGGCAGGACAGACAAGGCCGATCCTTACCTCCTCCACCTTCGGTTCCACTCCGGCCGGGGGAGATGGGGTTATCCCCTCCCCTGCACGGGGGCAGGGTATCTACTGCACCCCACCCATGCCACCCTCCTCCAGAAACACCTTTACTCTCAGGCTCAGAAACAAACTTAACTCGGGGCTGGTCACAACGACACATCAAAGTAACCATTACGGGATCCCCCAGGATCCGACTGTGAGCTAGATATCGTCTCGCAGAGACAGCTGCGTGGCTTGGCTTCTGTGGAACGCTGCACGGGAAGAAGTAAAATGACAGCAAGCCCCATTCTTTTCCCCCTAGAGGGTGTGCTAAAACCCAGTCAGTTTCTAACGGAGGCTTGAGGACACCTAAAGGATACAGACCAGCCTGGTTGCCGAGCAGTACGCTCCTCTAGGCGGGCGCCGGGCCCCACGCCACTGGGAGCCTCGGCTTTTGCTCAGCGGCGCCGTGTGTGACTGGTGCCGCCTCCCGGGGCTGCCACCTGCTGTGGCCTTCAGCGGGCTGCAAAGTCATTGGCCTGGGCAGGCTCCTCCTGCTCAGGCCCTTGTGTTTTCTCTTTCTTGTCCGTTCATCCAAATACCGTCCTTTTTTTTCCTTCCTGTCCTGCCGTTTCAAGGTGCTTTTTCTTTTGGGGCCAATTCATCTTCCTTGATGGAAGCCAGACAGGCCGTCCGCCGCCTCTGTGTGGTTTTGGTCATTTCGTGGGGTTTCCTCCTGAAGTGGCAGATGCGAAGGTCCCGGGGGCGCCAGCAGCGTGGCTGGGCTGTGCGCCGTGGGGGGCGAGGCAGGGGCACAGGCCGGCGGGGGCCAGCGCTGCTCCGCAGGGTCCTCGGGACTGGGCGGGGAGGACCCCTCTGCCTCTGCCCTCGCCTGGCCGCCAGTCCCCACGTACTGATGAGTCCTCCTGTCTCTCGCAGGGTGACGCCTGGGTGTACTTCAAGCCCCTGTGGAAGGCACACTGATGGTTGGCGAGGCGGGGCTTTCAGAAGTAGCCCTGATTTGGTAGGAATTAAAGTGGTACGGTATCCAGGTTCTGCGGGTCTTCCCTGAGACCACCTGAGAACGCTCAAGACGCGGTACCTGAGAGAGATTCTGTTGTGAACGATGCGCCCCCAGACTCTGCCGTGGGATTGAGCTTATTCAAGAGCCAAGTGGGCTTGCGTGTGCACATGTGTCTGTGTGCAGAGCTCCCCGCACACCGTCTGTTCACACGCTCCGTGTGCTCCGTCTGCTGGGTATCACTACACACGGAAGCACCGCACTTACCAACAGCGACGTGGGTGATTATGAGCTCCTTTTAATCAATGAGGTTTCAAGTTTTCTAGTTTTCACTTTTGCCAAAAAATGTTTTGCACTCACAAAGTATTCTCCAGTTGACAAGTCCTGTCCAGATAAAGGTGAACGGGCGTGGCCGGACTGCCATCCGTCTGGTGGAAGGTGGCTGCCACTTCACATCATGGCTGTGATTCCCACTCTGCCCCCAGCTTCATTGTTTGTTTACCCATGCTCAAGACAGATCATCTTCTTCTCCTGCGGGATGGGGAGTAGGTAGGAAGCTGTTAAAGGTGTAGGCTGGAGCCTTCCTGGATGGAGCGCCCCCTGGGAGAGCCCACAGCCAGGCCTGCCTTGGGATGGTCCTCCCACGTCCTAGCCCCAGAAGCTCTCTGATGATTTCATATGCTCAAAGCGCTAGTCATAGTTTTCAGAAGCTGCTGCTTTCATGGTAGAAAACAAGTCCTGTGGAGACTTCACTACTTTTATCTTTGAAAAAAGGGCTTTAGAAGTGAGATATACGCATGCACATACAAACATGCACCACCACAGCCTTGTATTTCGTTTGGGGAAAGAGAAAAGAATACCCAGTGAATTGGTTTTTTTTAAGCACATCTCCCTCTCTTGTTTGACCCAAACTCTGCAAGGAAACCACTGTGATTAAAACATCCATACAGCCTGCCTAAGTGTTCCATGGTTTCAGTTCAGTTCCAGTCTTCAGCCTTTACAAATGAGGTCAAGACATGACCAGAATATAAAGCAAGGAGAAAATGAAGTATTTGATCTTTGCTCAATGCTTAATTTATTTTTTACTGTGCCACTCTGAGAATATTTATACAATCCAGTAGCATGAATGCTTCTTTCTGTAGTAATACGAATTCTGTGCCTTTCGTCTGCTTTCTTAAGACCAATTGTTCACACTTTGTAGACATTAGACAAATATATTTCGATTAAATACTCTACTTATCTGCGTGTCTGTGCTTGATTTTCAGGGATTCCAAAGTTCTGTTGGAATTGGTGGCTCTGCATGAACTCATCTTTTATTAATTAGTGTTCATTTGATGTGAACAGCCATTATATTTCCATCAAAACAGTGTTTTAAACACATTAAACATCATATATGGATATTTTCTGATAAGGTCATAAGAAAATTTAACTTATATCAGGGAATGGTCTTGTTTTGAGAAGTGACTTAACCAGGCAAAACAATAAGGTAAGCCTGTTCTAGTTCATTGTCTTAAGACATCTGGGAGAAGAAAGTGGAATCATTTTATTTCTGAGAGGGAAAGCAGACTAGATATATTTTGAGAGGGAAATCTATAATGAGGAGACTGCTAAGTAATCACCGTGTGTTTTTAGGTTTTCCAGTCTTATACCAGAGCATAAACTATCTGGGAGGTAAAAAATGGAGATCCATCACTTTTTTTTTTTTTTGGTCATGGGGGGGGGGGTTCATTTTGCCTTTTAAAATATTGTGAAACATCATATAAAGAATTAAAAAAAACATATTACAGTTTCAGGAATATTTATAAACACCCATGTACCCACTGCCTGGGGAAAGAAACCTGTTTGTCCACACCTTGAAAGCCACCTTTGTGCCTCTGCAGAATTGCATTGTTTTTACAACAATCATCCTAATGGGTGTGAAGAGTTGTCTCATTGTGGGTTTGACTTGCATTTCCCTAATGATTTTTAGTGATGTTGACCGTCTTTCCCATGTATTTCTTGACCATTTGTGTATCTTCTGGAGAAATGTCTGTTAAAGTCCTTTGCACAGTTTCTAATTGCATTCTTTTCTGTATTAATGTACATGATTTGCAAATATTTCCTCCCATTCTGTGGGGTGACTTTTCACTCTGTTGATAACTGTCCTTTGATGCACACGAGTATTTAACTTTCATGAAGTCCAATTTTTTCCTGGGCTTCCCAGGTGGCTCATTTGTGCTTTGGATATCATATCCAAGAAATTATTGCCATATCTAATTTCCCCTTATGTTGTCTTCTAAGAGTTTCATAGTTTTAGCTCTTACGTTTTACATTTTTGATCTAGTTCAAGTGAACTTTTGTATATGGTGTTAGGTAAGTGTCCAATTTTATGACTCTGCATATCGATATCCTGTTTTCCTGGGACCATTTGTTGGAAACACTCTTTTCCCCATTGAATGGTTGTCTTATCGAAAATTTGATGATCTGTGAAGGGTTTATTCCTGGACTCCCTAGTCTGTTCCATTGGCATAGGTCTGTGATTTTATGGCAGTACCAGTTTTGAAATCTGGAAGTGAGACTTTCTCTATTTTGTTTCAGTTCACTCGCTCAGTCATGTCCAACTCTTTCCGGCTCCATGGACTGCAGCAAGTCAGGCTTCCCTGTCCATCATCAACTCCTGGAGCTTGCTCAAACTAATGTCCTTCGAGTCAGTGATGCCATCCAACCATCTCACCCTCTGTCATCCCCTTCTGCCGCTGTCTTCAATCTTTCCCAGCATCAGGGTCTTTTCCAATGAGTCAGCTCTTCGCAGGTGGCCAAAGTATTGGAGTTTCAGCTTCAGCGTCAGTTCTTCCAATGAACATTCAGGACTGATTTCCTTTAGGATGGACTGATTTGATCTCCTTGCAGTCCAAGGGACTCTCAAAAGTCTTCTCCAACACCACAGTTCAAAAGCATCATCAGTTCTTTGGCACTGAGCTTTCTTTATAATCCAACTCTCACATCTAGGACATGACTACTTGACTAGAGGGACCTTTGTTGGCAAAGTAATGTCTCTGCTTTTTAATATACTGTCTAGGTTGGTCATAGCTTTTCTTCCAAGGAGTAAGCATCTTTTAATGTAATGGCTGCAGTCACCATCTGCAGTGATTTTGAAGCCCAAGAAAATAAAGTCTGTCACTGTTTCCATTGTTTCCCTATCTATTTCCCATGAAGTGATGGGACTAGATGCCATGATCTTACTTTTCTGAATGTTGAGTTTTAAGCCAACATTTTCGCTCTCCTCTTTCACTTTCATCAAGAGGGCTCTTCAGTTCTTTTTCTCTTTCTGACATAAGGGTGGTGTCATCTACATATCTGAGGTTGTTGATATTTTTCCCACCAGTCTTTTTTTTTTTTTTTTTAGACGTACTTTAATTTTTTTTTCCATTTATTTTTATTAGTTGGAGGCTAATTACTTTACAGTATTGTAGTGGTTTTTGCCATACATTGACGTGAATCAACCATGGATTTACATGTGTTCCCCATCCCGATCCCCACTCCCGCCTCCCTCCCCACCTGATTTCTGGGCCTTCCCAGTGCACCAACCCGAGTACTTGTCTCATGCATCCAACCTGGGCTGGTGATCTGTTTCACCCTTGATAATATACATGTTTCGATGCTGTTCTCTCAAAAGATCCCACCCTCGCCTTCTCCCACAGAGTCCAAAAGTCTGTTCTGTACATCTGTGTTTTTCTGTTTTGCATATAGGGTTATCGTTACCATCTTTCTAAATTCCATTTACACGCATTAGTATACTGTATTGGTCTTTATCTTTCTGGCTTACTTCACTCCTATAATGGGCTCCAGTTTCATCCATCTCATTAGAACTGATTCAACTGAATTCTTTTTAATGGCCAAGTAATATTCCATGGTGTATATGTACCACAGCTTCCTTATCCATTCATCTGCTGATGGGCATCTAGGTTGCTTCCATGTCCTGGCTATTGTAAACAGTGCTGTGATGAACATAGGGGTGCACGTGGAGAAAAGGGAACCCTCTTACATTGTTGGTGGGACTGCAAACTAGTACAGCTGCTATGGAGAACAATGTGGAGATTTCTTAAAAAACTGGAAATAGAACTGCCATATGACCCAGCAATCCCACTTCTGGGCATACACAGATGGCTGGTTGCAGCCAAAGAGCAGCTCTATACACTCAGCTGAAACAAGACTGGGAGCTGACTGTGACTCAGATCATGAACTCCTTATTGCCAAATTCAGACCTAAATTGAAAGTGGGGAAAACCACTGGACCATTCAGGTATAACCTAAATCAAACCCTTATGACTATATGGTGGAAGTGAGAAATAGATTTGAAGGACTAGATCTGATAGAGTCCCTGATGAACTATGGATGGAGGTTTGTGACATTGTACAGGAGACAGGAATTAAGACCATCCCCAAGAAAAAGAAATATGAAAAAGCAAAATGGCTGTCTGAGGAGGCCTTATAAATAACTGTGAAAAGAAGAAAAGCAAAAGGCAAAGGAGAAAAGGAAAGATATACCCATTCGAATGCAGAGTTCCAAAGAATAGCAAGGAGAGATAAGAAAACCTTCCTCAGTGATCAATGCAAAGAAACAGAGGAAAATAATAGAATGGGAAAGCCTAGAGATCTCTTCAAGAAAACTAGAGATACCAAGGGAATATTTCATGCAACGATGGACTCAATGAAGGACAGAAATGGTAGGGACCTAATAGAAGCAGAAGATATTAAGAAGAGGTGGGAAGAATACACAGACAAACTGTACAAAAAAGATCTTCAGGACCCAGATAATCATGATGGTGTGATCACTCACACTCACCTAGAGCCAGACATCCTGGAATGTGAAGTCAAGTGGGCCTTAGGAAGCATCTCTATGAACAAAGATAGTGGAGGTGATGGAATTCCAGTTGAGCTATCTCAAATCCTAAAAGATGATGCTGTGAAAGTGCTGCACTCAAT